ACCTTACTATAAATCCCAGCATTCCATAGCATTGAGCCATGACAGTTTAAGTGGTGAAAAGGTTAAGAAATACTGTTCTCAACCATATCAGTATTATTCTAATTTATTATAGCAACCAAAATGGTTCTCCATAATGCAGCCACTCAAAGGTAGCTTGCATTATCCTGTTTATGAGTCTTCTGTCAAGCTCAAAAAATATATGTGCCAGGACTTGTTTACAAGAGGACCAAGGTTAAGCATCCCCATTCTTCTGCTTATGAGGAAATGTCCTTATCAGTTGGCCAGGTTTGGCTTGTTTTTTCCGAATGATCTATCCTGATTAGAATAAAAAGTATGGGTTTTTTTTTGGCTTGGGTGCAGGACGAATCATTAGGGAGTGCATGTTTAAACCTCTATATCTGCAAGACAACCCTTTCGGGAACAGCCTAAAGATTATTTTATTGTGTTATCTAATCTGTCACCTTCCCTTAAACATCCTGATATTTATTTGTTTTAGAATATATCTTTTCCTTTTTATCTGATGTTTGAGACTCTACCAATAACCTTAGGCTTTATCATGCCATGGAGCCTCCAGTGGAGCAATAGGTTAAACCCTTGTGCCAGCAGGACTGCTGACGGACAGGTCAGCTGTTCGAATCTGAGGAGAGCGGGTTGAGCTCCAGCTCCCCATGCAGGGACATGACAGAAGCCTCCCACAAGGACGGCAAGACATCAAACATCCAGGCGTCCCCTGGGCAACGCCCTTGCAGACAGCCAATTCTCTCACACCAGAAGCAACTTACAGTTTCTCAAGTTGCTCCTGACATGGAAAAAAAATGCCATCATTACTTTTTCTTACTTTGGGTGCATCTATACATCTATAATGTAGAATGGGTGCAATTTGACCTCACTTTAACTACCATGGGCCCATGCTATGGAATTTGTAGTTTGCTGAAACATCAGCACTCTTTAGCAGAGAAGACTAAAGACTTTGTAAAACAGCAACTCCCATGAATCCATAGCACTGAGCCATGGCAGTGCTAAAATGGGGTCAAACGGCATTAATTCGATGTCATACATGACCCTACTTAATTTCCAAAATCAGAAGAGATCTGGTGCCTTTAGGGTTCTAATTGCCACAATATTGTAGCTAAGAGACCAGGAAACCTGAAAAAATCAGCAACTATAAATAACCAGCAGCAACATAAACAACTGTGCGTGGTTGTAGCGCTTGCAGAACGAAACCATGTGATTTGAAACATCATTGTAGCTGGGTAATAATGACAGCTCTGATGGGTTCAAAAAGTCAATCAGCATAGAATCTTAGCCTTGGAGATATATTGATACCTTGTATGCAAGCTGGGTCTTTTGAAAAATGTTTTGTGGGGAGAACTGTTGGGATATTTTATGCTTGTCTTTATTTACTGTCAATGACTGTATTTCAATATTAATACCACCTCAAGTCAATCCAGAGTTTACGGTATGGTATAGTCTTGGGTACAGTATTAGTTCGGTCTATTCTTAATAGTAGCTCTCAAGTAACCAGGCACTAAATTAATCTGGAATTGACCAATCCCCTTGGGTACTGCTTAACTTAGTCTCTACTCTATCTATCTATTCATCTAAATAAATATATAAATATATAAATAAATAAATAAATAATGTAATGTTTGTTTGTGGGATTAACATAACTCAAAAAACACTGGATGAAATGACACGAAATTTGGACACTACATCCCTAATAGACCAATGAGTGATCATCACTCATAAACCCCTCCCAAAATATAGCGGAAAGGACTTAACCCCCCCCCCCCCAAAGCTAAATGATGATACAGCACATGTGCAAAAACGGCAGCCTCCAGTATCCCATATGCCCTTTAGAGGAGGAGGATGCTCCAAATGCACTTCTTCCAAGCTGCAAGCTTGCTTCTCCTTGGATTTCTTTGAGAGCAACCCAATCCGTCCATATTTTCTATTTCCTATTCCTGGACAGCAACTCCCAGCAATCTTCCAGGTAGATAAGATATATAGATTAGACAGAGATAGATAGTAGGTAGATAGATAGATCAATCAGGAGGACTGCTGGGAGTTAGTCCAAGAATATGTAGAGAAGGAAGAAATGAGAGAAAGAAAAAGGGAGGGGAAGGAAGGAAAGAGGTAGAGAAGGAAGAAAGGGGAGAAGGAAAGAAAAAAGGGAAGGAAGGATGGAAGGAAAGAGTGAGTGAGTGAGTGAGTGAGGGAGGGAGGGAGGGAAGGAAGGAAGGAAGGAAGGAAGGAAGGAAGGAAGGAAGGAGAGAAAGAAAGGAGGAAAGAATGAGGGAAGGTTGGCCACAGCAATGTGTAGCGGGTACAGCTAGCATTGTATATATATACATAAATCTTTAAAATCACTGACCTGTTACTCGTCAGAAATGAGCAGCTTTGTTTCGGATGTGAGCGAGCCTCCAGAGTCAGTCCAGTCCAACCAAATCATCAAGGGTTCATCAATTTTACTAAATTAAGGGTACCAACAGCTGCCTAGGCTATTTTTTATTTTCTTGATGGTTTTCCATGTCACTCTTTCTACCTTCATTAATTCTCCCACTTTACAGACAGTCCCCAAGTTACAAATACCTGACTTACAAATGACTCATAGTTAAGAACAGAAGTGAGACAACTGGAGGTGAGGGAAATCTACCCCTAGAAAGGGAAATCCACTCCTGGAGGAGTTATCATGGGGAAAGGGGGTCTCCATCGATGCTTTCTTGCCAATCCTTGTTTCTGCAACAAGCCAAATTTTCCAAAATCCAGTGAGATCAGGGACAGAAAGTGAGGTGAAACCTTCTGAACAGGGCCACGGACAGCAAAACAAATGTCACAAGGGTATTCGACTTTCCTTATGCTATCTAAAGATATATCCTATCGTATCCAATTTTTCGTCGATCCACTCCTTTGGGCTTTGTGCAAATCTATCATTTGCCAAAATATACGATCCCGTGCTTTTCTTTTTTTTATTTCTAGCTGAATAGCTTAGCCATTGGCTCATCCCATCGTGTACAAGATCTGCCCAAGGGCTGCTTGTGGTCTCTTGGTATCCAGTTCATTAGTTGAGATGTCCATCAGTTGTCTTTTGTCCCTGCTATATACCCTGCCCATCTTTTTTCTTATAGATTCCATTGACCACATCTCGTACACCGGTTTTCTCATGGAGCTCTTTATTGCTGACTTTATCTCTTATTGTCCTTCTTTCCATTGCTCTCTGAGTCACTGCTAGTTTTTCCACCTCTAACCTTGTTGTTGCCCATGTTTCAGACGCATATAACATTGCTGGCAAAACTAGTGTTGAAATCTGTTCTGACCGCACTGGCAGATTATCATGTTAGCACTGTCCTGTTTCAATTAAAAATCATCCAAGCCACCTTGCGTCTTCTTGCTCATTCGCAATCTGCCAAGTTATTTGACTGTCCTTCTCCAAGATATACATATTCAGTCACTTCCTCAGTTTTGTCTCTGTTTATAACATTGAGGCCCTGGACACATTTCTCATTTTTCATTCATTTCACTTCCTTCAAGTTTGTTTTCAGTGTTGGAAATGACAACCTTCTTCAAGCCTTCTCTAATATGTTTATCGATGATCCTGTTGCTTATTGTTTGTATGTATATTCTGGTATGCAGCTTCCTTTACTCTGTGGTTCCTGAGAAGTTGGAAACAGGGCTGCAGACCATATGCTCTCCCCCCCCCCTCTCCTTTTGATTATGTGACCTGTTGATAGTTGTCTTGCTATAAGAGAGATATCCTTGCAGGGTGGCACAGAGAATCACAGATTTGGAAGAGACCTCATGGGCCATCCAGTTCAACACCCTGCCAAGAACCAGGACAATCGTATTCAAAGCACCCCCAACAGTTGGCCATCCAGCCTCTGTTTAAAAGCCTCCATAGAAGGAGCCGTCCCGTTGTTTTTCCTCAATGTGACTCACCTGGTATGGCGACATCAATAATCCAGACTTTTTTCTTTTCCACAATTGTGATGTCTGGTGTATTGTGTTCCAAAACTTTGTCAGTCTGGATTCGAAAGTCCCACAGTATTTTTGCGTGTTCATTTTCCACTACCTTTGCGGGTTTATGATCCCACCAATTCTTTACTGCTGGCAGGTGGTACTTGTGACAGAAGTTCCAGTGAATTATCTGGGCCACAGAGTTGTGTCTTTGTTTGTAGTACGTCCGTGCGATTTTCTTGCAACAGCTGAGGATATGATCCATGGTTTCATCAGCTTCCTTGCAGTCTGCATATTATTATTTTTATTATTATGGAGCCCCCGGTGGTGCAGTGGGTTAAACCCTTGTGCCTGCAGGGGCAGGGCTGAAGATCGACAGGTTCAAATCTGGGGAGAGTATGGATGAGCTCCCTCTGTCAGCTCCAGCTTCTCATGCGGGGACATGAGAGAAGCCTCCCACAAGGATGGTAAAACATCAAAATCCGGGCGTCCCCTGGGCAACATCCTTGCAGATGGCCAATTCTCTCACACCAGAAGCGACTTGCAGTTTCTCAAGACAAAAAAAAAGTTAGAGGGATTAACATTTTTATGTTCCTGGGGGTGTCAGTCTAGACCAGGCATGGGCAAACTTCACCCCTCCAAGGGTTTTGGACTCCAACTCCCACAATATATATAAATATATATATAACCAATTAAAACAGAAGTATCAAAAATAATGTGATGGTTGCGGGTCACCACAACATGAGGTACTGTATTAAGGGAGTGAGGAAGGTTGAGAAATACTGATGTATGCTATTTAGGCAGTCCAATGAATGTTTAACTTGCTCAATCACTCTGGGGAGGCATCTACACTGGGGAATGGATGCAGTTGGAGCGCGCGTTGCCTTCCCAGGCTGAACGCAATGGAAATCCTCGTTCCTCCTTGGCCTTCTGTGCCCAGCGTGGCTGGTGCCTGACCAAAGCGGCGCCCAAGTGCGTGAAGGCCCCACCAAAGAGCAGCAGCAGGGGGAGCTCCATCGCTCGGGGAGAAGGGAGGGAAGGAAGGCACTCAGGAAAGAGAGAGAGAGAGGCGGGAGCAGCAGGATCCCTGGAGGAGGAGGAGGAGGAGAGCAGCAGCAGCAGCAGTGGAGCCAGGGATGCCGCCGCCTCCGCTCCCAAAGCCGGGTCTCAGCGCTGACTGACTTCCCCGCCTTTGAGGAGCAGCAGCAGCAGCCAGGAAGCTGCGTCGTTCGGGGCCGGAGGATTGCGCCGCTGCCCGGCCGAGGAGCCAGAGAGCGGCGCCGCGCCGGTGGAGGGGGCACCCGGTGGCCCGCCTTACGCCACGCCGCGGTCGAGGCCTGGGAGCCAAGCGAAGGGAGACAGAGAGAGAGAGAGAGAGAGAGAGAGGCAGCCTGGAGGGGAGGAGACCCCAGCAGGACAGGTAGGCGCCGCCAGGAGGGGAGGGGAAGGGAGGGGAGAGGAAGAGGCGGGAAAATGTCTCCCTCTCTCAGCCCTGGCCAGGTCCCAGCAGGGGAGCCCCTCAGGGAGAGAGAGAGAGAGAGAGAGGGCCCCGCTTGGGAAGCAGAGCCCGGCGGGAGGGATTCTCTGTCTGGACATACACACATACCTGTAGACATAGGCATATGCTCACAAACATAAACACGTACACATATATACACACACCTGTAGACATATATACATGAATATATCACTCACAAATATAATCTCACACATATATACACACATACCTATAGACACACATATACTCACAAACACAGACACACTCACACATATATACACACACCTGTAGACATATATACATATATGTTGCTCACAAATATAAACACACACACATATATACACACATATCTATAGATATATATATATATACACAGACACATATATACACACATACCTGTAGACACAGACACATATATACTCATAAACACAGACACACTCACAAACATAAACGCACACATATATACACACAGCTGTAGACATATATACATATATATATTACTGACATATATAAACACACATATATGCACACATACCTGTATATATACATATACACACAAACATAAGCACACATATATATCCACACAGACACACACATACCTGTACACACACACATATATATGCACTCACAAACACAGGCACAAACATAAACACACACAGACACACAGACACACACATATACACATATACTTTAGACATATATATACCCACAGACACATTCACAAACATAAACACATATTTTCACACACACATGTTTATATTTGTAAGATATATATAGATCTTTACACACAAACCTGTAAAGTTATATATATCACTCACAAATATAAACACACATATATACACATACACACATACCTGTAGACACACACGTGTATATATATGCTCTCAAACAAACACACATATATATTCACATAGACACACATACACACATACCTGTAGATATATATATATATATAGTCACAAACATAAACAAATAGATATACTCACAAGCACACAGATATATTCACATAGACACACACATACCTGTAGATATATATATATATATCCATACACACATACCTAGATAGATAGACTCTCAAAAACACAGGCACACTCACAAACATAAACACATACATATATTCACACAGACACACACATACACACACATACCTGTGGACATATATGTATATATATATGTGTGTGTGTGTGTGTGTGTGTGTGTATATATATATATATATAATATTCACAGACATAAACACACACATCTATATATACAAAAATAAACACAGACATATCTATGCAACTACACACATGTATATTATAATGATAATAATAAATACCTTACCTGCCTCTCCCCATGGTTCAAGGCAAGGCACAACACAGACCACTTCCACATAGCCATATAATCCAGAATATCAAGGCAGATAATCCACATTATCTACTTTGAACTGAATTGCCTGAGTCCACACTGCCATATAACCCAGTTCAAAGCAGATAATCTGGATTTTATACAGCTGTGTGGAAAGGGCCACAGTTAAAACACAATGTCATAAAATACATACATCTAAACACACCAAGGCAAAATATGTATATTAACATTTCCAAAAGGTACTTAATCCACTTGAACAAATTTTACAGGAAATGTAACAAAAACTTCACAGGATATGTATTCTTTTGCTATAAAATGCCATTTTCCAAGCCCTGTGATTAGATACATTTTGGCAGATTTGACCTGTACATAATATTTTATTTTATTGTGTTGTGTTGTGTTGTATTGTATTTGAAAGGGCTTGGCCTCATGTTAGCCACCCCAAGTCCCCATTGGGGAGATGGTGGCGGGGTATAAATAAAGATGATGATGATGGTGATGATGATGATTATTATTATATTCTACTGCTAGCCAACAATGTTATGCTACCTATAACTCATTTTTCTGTTATTGGCACAAATAACAGAAACAAATTCCACACACACACATACATACACACACACACACACACACACACACACACACATATATATACATATATACACACACACACACACATATATACATACATACAAACAGACACAAACATCAACACAAACATACACAAAGAGGCTATCCCAATAATTCCAAACCCCTAACAGCTTATAATTCTAAAACATATTTTTGGTGCAATTTCCTCCCAAATAATGTCTGTACCTTTAAGAGGATGGTATAGAAGTGTCGACAGATAGCAGGATAAACTTTTATGTCAGGTTTACAATTCTGTGCTGGGAGCAATGCATGGCTGCCCACTCACAAGACACTTTGAACATCTGACATAACATTTTAATTCGTTACTTTGATGAAATTGTTATTGTAATACTCATTCCTCCATGTGAACTTAGACTTCAAATAATTGGCATATCTGTAATTGAATGTCAAAGGGCATAAACAATTTGGAGGGATACCCTGCAGGCCATCTCATCCACAGTTGTAGCTGTGGATTCATCTATCCACAGATTGAAAATATTTTTAAATATTCCAAAAAAGAAGCCTTATGTTAGGGACACCATCTTACCACTTTATTTACATAATTGTAAATAATGCGACTTCCATATCCATGGATTTTGGTATCCATACAGAGTCCTGGAAATAAACCCCGGTGGCCACCAAAGGCCCACCATATGTGTATGTGTGTATATCTAGCAATCCATCCATTTTTAAATCAATTGACCCATTGCTCTTGTCAGAAGTGAGCCAGTTTGGATGTGTGTGAGTCAGGCCCTTCCACACAGCTGAATAAAATCCCACATATATGGCAGTGTGGACTCAGATAACCCGGTTCAAAGCAGATATTGTTGGATTTTCTGCCTTGATATTCTGGGATATAGGGAAGGGCCCTCCGCCCAATCCAACCAAATAATCTCTGGTTCATCAATTTCACCAAATGAAGGGAATCAACAATTGTCCAGGCGTTTCCTTTGTTTTCCTGAATGTTTTCCATCTCTGTATTTCTAGCCTGCCTTTATTCTTACTATAACCTTAGAACAAACCAGGAAACTCCCCCTATTTTCCTCCACTCCCTCCCCATAGTAACACATCCTGTATGAACTCAGAGGAACCCAGATGTCCTTTAGTTTTCAAGTATCTTTCACTCATTTGTCATTTTGCATATCTTTCACTCCTGCACAATTTAGCAGGACAGCTGTGTCACAGAACTAGCTCTAGTTGTTTTTAGGTTTTAAAAAATCTTTATAAATATTGCATTTTTCCTGTCACCTTTGCGTTTGCAAAATCTCCCATCCTTTCTTTGGGTAATGTTTGGAGTTTTTATTGTTGTTTTTGTTATGTGATGAGCAAGTTGCTTTTAGTTGATTAATTTAGAGCAGAAAGTAATGGAAATATGGGGAAAGATGTGTTTGCATCATCCGTGATACTATTGCTAAATACAAGTTTGTTTAGGAATCACCTGGGATTTTAATATCTCAATGTTATTCTGTCACTTCCCCCTCCTTCTTGGGACCTTCTTGGTCTTTCCACCAATGAGAATTCCTAGCATTCCAGATGTAATATGTCCTTATTTCACTTGGTATGAGCTACCTGATACCTTGTAAAAATGGAGCAGAGTTCTTTGCTACTACAGAAAGCATTTAAGGAACTATACTTGAATGCCTTGACAAATGCATATGGACTACCTTAGTTAATGGGCTTCGGAAACCGCACTCTGGTATATTTAATACCATTAGATGCCCCCCTCTCATTTTTAATTATAGAATCATAAGGTAAAGGTTTCCCCTTGACATTAAGTCTAGTCGTGTCCAACTCTGGGGAATGGGGCTCATCTCCATTTCTAAGCCGAAGAGCTGGCATTGTCCGTAGACACCTCCAAGGTCATGTGGCCACCATGACTACATGGAGCACTGTTACCTTCCCGCCGGAGCAGTTCGTATTTATCTATTCACATTTGCATGTTTTTGAACTGCTCGGTTGGTAGAAGCTGGGGCTAACAGCAGGAGCTCACCCCGCTCCTTGGATTTGAACTGCCGACCTTTCGGTCAGCAAGTTCAGCAGCTTAACGGTTTAACCCACTGCGCCACCAGGGGCTTCAATAGAGGCATATTAGTAGTACTGTAAAAATATCAACAATGTCACAGTGAGATCTTTACAAAAACTTAGGAAGTTGCCCTAAACCAAGGTTACATCTACACATGAATTGTAGTTTGGTGAGGGACCAACACTCTGGCAGAGAAGGCTAAAGGCCTTGTGAAACTACAACTGCTATTAACTCCATAGAATTAAGCCAGGGCAATTAAAGTGGCATCAAAATGCACGCATTCTACAGTGTGTAGATGCACTCTTAGAGATTCCTAGCGAGGCACCCTCTTTAGAAATTTGTTAGGTTCTTCAGTACAACTCTGAACTACATCAGATTGCCTCAGTGGATTTCCGTGGCTCAGTGGGGATTTGAACATTGGTCTCCAGAGTCATGTTTCAATGCTCAAACCACTATACCTCATTAGATCTTCTTTACATATTGACTGCCCCTTAATAATTCCTTAAAATTATGCCGCTTCTATGGCGGATAAAGTGGATAGCAGCGCTGTAATTTTGAAATGTGAAAGAGCTCCTGATCGGAACCACAATATGAAGTTTATTTGCAGTTCAAAGTGTAGGTGACGTGTAGAAAAATCTTTGATATTTTTAGATATTTTGAGTTATTTGTGCAATAATTCTGTAGTAATGTCTGTGCAGCCTGGAAATTCTGGTAAACAATGTTCAAAACATCAGGAGAGCCAAAGGTTCTCCATACCATCATACTAAATTCTTTTCAGGTACATCTACCAGTGCTTCCCAACCTTTTGTCCTTCCAAGTGTTTTAGACTTCAGTTCTCACAATTCCTAACAGCTTGTAAGACAGCTGGGATTTCTGGAATTTGAAGTCCATAACAACAGGAGGATCAAAGGTTGGGAACCAC